AGGCCCCCTTCTGTTCCCTGCCACAAGCCCAAGCCCTTCCCTCAACATGGCAGTTTACTCCTTCAAATCCAAAAGGAGAGTGGTCTCTACTCTTAGGGAAAGCCTGAATCTATATATATAAAAGGCTAATATGCAAAGTGTCCCCTTGGGAGTTCAATCAGGAGACCAGGAGTTTGATTGCTCACTATGATGTGCGCTGACTACCAGGGGGGGCAGCACAGAACAAAGGAAGGCCCTGGCCGATGACCGGTAACCAGGGGAAGGAAGGCCCCAATCAGCCCTGATCGCTAGCCAGGCCTTGGGACCATACCCATGCATGAATTTTGTGCACTGGGTCTCTAGTACTTTAATAAAAAGTTTATAAAATTAAAGAAATAAAATTAGGATTAACAAGAGAACTAGGTAAAACTGAATCTTAGGGTTGAAGATACCTGCTTTCCACCACCATGAACTTACACCATAAGGCACTATCTCATGAGGCAGCATTTGAGGTTATTGACAGTGAGAGACTATTTTTTACCAGGAAGTCATCCAAATCTTTTTTCTTTAATGTTCTATACAACTTTCAAAGCTTCCATTTTCTTACATCTGATATTATAATTCATGTATATGTCTTAAAAATTTTTGTTACTTAAAATTCAATTTTATATCAAGTTCCATCTCATATTTCCCTAAAGTACTGACATATCTTACAGATATCAATACAAAATACTCAGCAATAAATACATATGAATGGATAAAGCTAAGTTTTATTTTTATATATGAAATTTAATACTAAGTATTTCTTAATCTAAAATATCAAAGTTAATTTGGAACCAATATTTATGTAGACAATTTATTATATTATATTCTAATAATTACTAAATAAAGGTGAATACCTGCATAGAAGAATAACAATAAATTGACCACCTGAGAATTTACAGAATCTTGAAAGATTAGTTGTATATTGGTGTGTGAATTGTATTGCTCAATTAGCCACTACGGGACATAATGATGCTACCATAATGCTTTTGAATTCTCATTTGAAGCTCTAGAATCATCAGAGATTTGTCCCCAAAGGAAACAAAAATAAAAGATCACTATATAACCACAATAACTCTAATCTGTTATTGAAAGATGAATGACTTCTTATTCCGAGGTAAGATTTCGACTTTTGTTAATGAAGCTGTTGTAATGATTTTCATTTACTATTTGAAACCACTTACTCCCTAACTTTATATGTGTACTCACAAGTCATAGTTGGGAAACAGGGCAGATGTAATTAAGCAATAAGCCAGTTAAGCAATTGGATGAACTGCTATTTAGTTCATATGTAAACAGGCATAATCTAAGCTATAAGGATTCCTGTTTATCTACCCCTAAGAGAGAAACTCATATGGTCTTTCCACACTATCCAAGCTCAGCACTCTCCAGTAATGCTAATTAATTCACTCTCATTGAGCTATTCTCAACATTTATTGAAATGAAACACATTTAAGATTTAAAAATGTAAAGATATTGTAGATCTCTTTGCAGAAAGATTGACTTTGTTTATGGCTCTAAATGCTTTAGCTTCAAGGCAATAACACTGTAGACAAACTTCAGGATATAAATTCAGAAAATCTGGAGATGAGGGTCAGCCTGGCCACACACTGGGTGATCCCTTTTCAGCTCTTAGGTTACACTGTATTCAGCTACATATTATCCTATATAATAAAAGGGTAATACACAAATTGACCCTAAAGGCTGAACGACTGATCACTATGATGCGCATTGACCACCAGGGGGCAAGCATTGAAAGCAGGAGCTGCCCCTTGGTGATTAGTACGCTCCCACAGCGGGAGCGCTGCTAAGCCAGAAAGCAGAAGCTGCCCCTTGGTGATCAGTACGCTCCCACAGCGGGAGCGCTGCTAAGCCACAAGCCTGGCTGACAGCTGCAAGCACAGCAGTGGTGGTGGGAGCCTCTCCCGCCTCCTTGGCAGTTGGACATCCCCTGAGGGGTCCTGGACTGCGAGAAGGCGCAAGCCAGGCTGAGGGAACCCCCTGAGTCCAGAATTTTCATGCACCAGGCCTCTAGTGTTGATAATAATATCATTTTATTTTACAAAACTTTAATTAGAAAACATTGTTAAAGTAGGAACTATATTATATATTTTAATTATCTTCTGAAGATGAATCATGTTTTTGCATAGTGATTACATTAATATTTCAACTTATTTGATAAAATAGTAATATTCTGAACTATAAATATTAAAAAAATATCCAGTACATTTACAATAGATGATCTCACTTATAACCCTAATTTGAAATTCTTATCTGAATTAGTATCAGGAATAATTGTATTTTGCCTTTGAAAACACTGATTTTATTTAACTGACAGATACTGTGAAATAGATACATAAGTATGTGCCTGTTTTATTCCTAAGGGCTAGAAGGCTTAAAGGACAACCTACTGTCCACTCATTGACAGATGCACTGATTTCATGTTAAGCAGTATGTAACTGCATTTGTTATTTATTTATTTTAATTTTTTAAAAATATATTTTATTGATTTTTTACAGAGAGGAAGGGAGAGGGATAGAGACTTAGAAACATCGATGAGAGAGAAACATCGATCAGCTGCCTCTTGCACACCCCCTACTGGGGATGTGCCCGCAACCAAGGTACATGCCCTTGACCAGAATCGAACCTGGGACCCTTGAGTCCGCAGGCTGACGCTCTATCCACTGAGCCAAACCGGTTAGGGCTGCATTTGTTATTTAAATTCATTTGTTAAATAACACTAAAGGAATGGGGCAGTTAAGACTTCCCGAGTTTCATGTTCTAAATTCATGACTTGCTACATAACCTCTTTCAGACCTAGGTTACTCTTCTATAAAACAATTAGTATTAATATTTTATGGGCAATCAATTAAACTGTATATATGTATATATTTACATGATTTTAGCCCTACACTTATCATTTAGTAAGCATATAGTAAATGTTAGAGTATAGTATATGGATATGTAAATATGTATATGTACATATGACACTGTCTGAAGGAACATTTCTGGGGTTTCTGCTAAAATAATTTTTAAAAACCAGAAAGATTCATAATTGCATGTAAATATGCACTGATACTTAAATATATTTATTACTTCCCATATGTATTAATGAAAATGAAATCATTAAAGGTCTATCTTCTTTAATGTAATATTTCTGTTTTATTGGTTCAACTGCTGTCTTTGGGGCAGTTGAGTGCTTCCTTCTAGCTATCATGGCATATGATCGCTTTGTGGCAATTTACAAACCACTGCTTTATTCAACCAAAATGTCCACACAAGTCTGTGTCCAGTTCCTCATAGTGGCTTATGTGGGTAGTTTTCTCAATGCTTCCTCCTTTGCTATTTGCTACTATTTTTTATTCTTCTGTGGACCAAATCGAGTCAATCATTTTTTCTGTGATTTTGCTCCATTAGTTGAACTCTCCTGTTCTGAGAACAGTATCCCTGTAGTTGTCCCCTCATTTACAGCTGGCTCCATCATTTTGTTCACTGTGTTTGTCATAATTGTTTCCTACATGTACATCTTCATCACCATCCTGAAGATGCGCTCCAATGAGGGGCGCCACAAGGCCTTCTCCACCTGTTCATCCCACCTCACAGCAGTAAGTCTGTACTTTGGGACCATCATATTCATTTATGTGTTGCCCAAGTCCAGCTACTCAACTGATCAGAACAAAGTGGTGTCCGTGTTCTATATGGTGGTGATCCCCATGCTGAACCCCATCATCTATAGCCTCAGAAACAGTGAGATTAAGGGAGCTCTAAAGAGAATGCTTGGTAGAAAAATATTCCATAGGATTTGATGTAATAATAAAAATAAATAAATGAAAGGAAATTGAGTGTCTGTGTTCTAAATATATTTGTCCATTTGTTATTAGCCAGTATAGAGTATTTTAGTTAAGGTAGAGGATTGATCTGATATCATACTATAAAGTCGAGGTCTATTCTGAGTTACCTTTAATAACATTAAATTTATTATTAGAAACACATATTGGCTCATATGAAAAACTCTTAATCTGTGTGTAGGGAGTGGCTATAGGGTCAAGCCTCTGATTGACCTGTGGCAGGGCCACAAACAAGTTCCAGCTTGGAGGGCAGAGCCCTCTTAGCATAATTAAGCTTGACCTTATAGCCCTCCCTAGTTCCTTCCTAGGTAGCTGATGGGCTGTGGGAGGTGTAACAAGTGCTGCCAAAACAAGGTGAAACGTACAAGAACATTGTAAACATGTTGACCACTTCCCATATTTTGGTTTGTGTGTTCTGACTATAAAATAAAGCCTCGGTTTGCAGGCTGGGTCTTTCTGTGTCCTCACTGAACATAGAGCATATATGAACACAGCAACCAACTGCAGAAAATACATTAGTTTTCAATACAGCATATTTTTTAAAATATATTTTATTGATTTT